TGGCATATAGTCTAGAAACCATATTAATCATACATGATTTTACAGAACAATATTATATAGGTCTTATATTGAGAAGTTAGAAGAAGAAAACAAATACTTAAAGAGGTATAACAATTTCATTTAATTCAATTAAGGTCAATAATCTAAATTGAGTTTGATGACTCATTTTTATTAGTAAATGCATGACTATACTGAGTCAGGGCAGGCAGGGCCGGCCTGACTCCACCTGACTAATGCATAACTGCCAATGATGTATATTCTGGGCATTATAGTTGTTGTTTAGAACAAAGTTTATATTGAAGAGCAAATTTTTGTGTAAACACTGACATGCATGCTAACATAACTTGTGCAAATTGACAAAACACTGAACCCCTGTTATGTCAACAATAACAATTGACGGTGGGTGAACTTAAAGCAGGGGAGTAACCTTTCTAAACACAATGTATATCTAATTTAAAGTAACAGTTGGGCCATTGCTCATGCATGCACTTCAATATTAAGACTTCTCAGTATATAATGCAGGAAACAGGAGTTACATTATGTATAAAATTCAGTGCACTTGCATTACATTATAGTTTAAATTATATCAGCTGCTGATGCATGAGTCAAATTGCATGCATAGTAAAGTATAATGCATGCTGCTATCATCTTGTCTAAGATCAATATTTTTTGTATAGTTTATTACAGAAAAAGAGTTTTGTATATGAAGGAAAGGAATTTATGTTAATATCTGACTTTAAAAGCAAAAAGTATAACCTTACATTGCATTAATATGTTTATGATTTAAAGAATTTTGTTATTGCTATAGGGATGATATTGAAATTGAAGATGATATTGTTGCCTTAGATGTTCAAGAACAGTTTGCTACTTATTTTGAAGAAGTTGAAATCAATCTTTCAGGTTTAGACAGCAAGCAAAAACTATTTCAAATATACTGCAACCTTTTTCAGGTGATAATGCTATGTTTATGGGCCAAATTGTGCTGAATTTTGCATTAATTACTTACACTTGTCATGTTTCCTGCAGGTAGGATGTGTAAATTATAACCAAACTGCAGCCTGAAACTATGCATGCTGGCCTGGTTTGATTCAGTTAACTTCAGCTCAGTTTGGTGATTGTTTACACTACCAAATCAGTTAGCTATGCTGGCCCATGAACTATAAAGAGGGTTGGCACTAGCTCATTGTTAAAAAAGCCAGTGCCAAAAATTGGTATAATTATACTAAAAATTTTACCTATGACAGTGTATGTACATCCATAATTTTATACCAATAATTCATTTGTAATTTTTCAGATATCATTTGATTTTTGCCGTAATGCTTTTATTGAAAAACTCACAAAACCACTATTTGCTTTGACTCAATTGACTGTTGAAGAGAAAAAAAGGAGTAAAACTGATATAAAGAGGAAGAAAAATTTAGCGGATGTCAGTAAGGCTTATCAACATCTTGTGAAACATTCTTCAGCAGAGCTGAGGAGTATTGATTACTCTGTAATTGACAAAGTATATTTGACCTTTGACCTCATTGTGTAGCTTTTACTTTATACAAATAGGTAAAAACCTCTTTCTCTGTTAGACATGATAAAGTTGTTATACCAGAAATTGATGATGCAATTGTTGAAGCAGTTAAACTCTGTTGGAAGATGCAAATGCTGCCTACACCAATGTTTATCTGTCAACCTAAAGTCTTTAATGAACATTGGCATGAAACCCATTACGACTCATGGGATGATGATAGCACTAATGACTTAGTGTATTATAGACCAGTCCTGATGAACAGTGTTGGAGGATCAATTGCTTATAAAGGTCTAGTGGGTAATGATGGTCTAGGCACAAATATTCTGACAAGGGAAAGTAAGTGGGAACATAATTCTAAATAATGTCATATCATAATGAATTATAGCAACAAAGGAGAAGAAAAATTTGCCAAAAAAATCAAATATAGTTATTTATCAAGGATCTTGTAATCAGTGGCAGGTATAGGCTTTGCTATGTAATTGTGATGTTATTGTTTACTTTTAAACAGGATATACGATTGTGTCTTACACAAGGCTTCATACAACCAAAAACAATTAGTTGTGCCTTTTGTAATGGCAGCATTCTGTTGACAAATCAAACCTGCATTGGAAAAGATATTAATATTTTACACGAAGAATGTTTTTTTACTATTATCAAGAAAGGGTCTGTAAAAGACTCTTGATAAAAGTACTCTTTTTCGATACTAATTATTTTTACTATTACAATGGCCTAGTGGAATATTTTACATTTAAGATTTCAGTGAATTGTTTTAGTAGATAGTACTTGTCGTGTTTTTGTGTAGGCCCAGCATAAAGATGCTCATTACATGACAAATCATGTGTTGACTTCAATGCTTATAAACAGTGAGTGCATACACTGATATTCTTGGAATGGACACTCAGTGTTGATAAAGACCCATATAGACAAACACGCATGCATATTTAATTCACTTTCCGGTGGGAGGAGCCAGTTCAATCCGGCCGACCGCCGGCGTAGAAACGGCAATGTCATCGTCTTTGTGGGAATACTTGACTTCTTGGCACAGGTACCGGTATTTCTTTAGACCTTGGTGGCAATACTTATCTTTTTGGCCCAGGTATTTCTTTAGAGCTAAAAGGCCGACGACTGTGACGGAGTAAGTTGATTAGGCCATTATTTTTCATAATCTATATCATTGATTCACTTTATCTTCAATTTACAAATATCTTTTTAACTAAATTAAACACATCTGATCCTTACACTTATCATTTCTTATGCCCTTGCTATTACTGTATCAGCTCCCATTATACATAGTTCTCATTCAATCATTCATTAATTTTCTTTTTGGTTCCTAGTGTAATTTCTAGGTAAAGACTAGGTTACCATCAGCACTCTACTCCTTCTTTGTGTTCTTACATTTTACTGTTGTGCTGTGAAGTTTATAATAATAATAATAATAACAATAATAATAATAATAATATTGCTAGATTAATTCACACTATGCACATTCCACAGAATGAACTTCTCACATAACTAGCCAGTACTCCATAGGCTATGTGGGACTAGTAAAGTTCAGGCTACTAATGACTAAAATTAAGCCATTAATGCATTTTAATACATGTACTACATAAGTCGGAAAAGCCTCTCCTGCTAAAAAGTTGAGATGCAGCGCAAAGTAGTAAAAATTAATTCAAAATTGTCAATCAAAGTGTTTTAAAGTTATTTTTTGTGAGGTATTTTTTTTAATTACTGCCTACAGGCATGTTTTAGCGACATAGATATTAGAGTATAATGGTTAATTATAATGACAGTTGTCAGTACTCACCACCACTAAGTATCTAATCTATCATTATGTATGTCTGTACTGGAAAGCTTAATTGTAATTATATTTAAAGAAATAAGTTTACAGGAAAACAGGTTTAGAAGTAGAGGGGGAAGGGAGTCAAATTTTGTGAGTAAACTTTAAATTTGCCTATATAGATTTAGTTCAGCATATCAGTATAATATTTACTATAACAAGACTGCATATAATGTACTCTTTTACAGTACAATAAATGATG